ATAACGTGCACTCGGACTGAATAGGGAATACCTTGTTGAAGGGTTAATTCCACCCACTGCTATGCAAACGCTAGCCGTTGTCATGCAACTGCCTCGAATAATTCGTTGCTAAGTTCTTTTAGCGTTCTGATTCCTAGGCGTTATAGCGGGAACGTTAGTCGTTGCCTAGGAAATGAACTCTGATCTCCTAATCCATTGCGGCTTTCTCGCGGCACGCCACATGTTGCAACACTTCACCAAGATAGCGAAGAACCCACACAATTTTTGTCGCGTTGCATAGCAAACAAGCAACAATATGTTCCCAGTTTCTTCGGATTCATCTCACTTCAGAACGGCGTACCTTTCCGAACACATAATTAACCTACGACTTTCAATTATGCAGGGAATTTCTTGAGTAGCTGAGCAACTATTAGCTTATGAAGGCTGTCTTAGAGGTCCATATGGCTAGTTAAAGTTCAGAACCAGGGTCGGGTCCAAGGGGGTGGCCCCAGGGCCTCCACAAACAGAAATATCAGTGATTTTATTCAGGCATTTGCTTCTATAAAATCAGGAGGAGCTAGTTTGTATGTTCAGTTATTATAAGAAATAAGAACAAGAATAATCGTCATAACCTAAATTTATTGCTACTAATAGCTGCCTCGGGGCCCCCCACAGCCGTAAATCCGGTTCTGACAAGGGTACGTTTATAGCAGTGGTGTGTCCCCAGGGGGTCGGGGATATACTTGGGAAGTTATAAAGTGAAACTGAATTGATTGTAATCCTGAAAATATACGATTGGGATTGTTTAATTTTTTTGCATTTGTAAAATCTTGGTAAATATTAGCTGACAAAGACCTAAATTTTGTTGATTTTATAAACGAAAAACTAAAAAAATCAGATGTTTACACACACACACACACACACACACACACACAGATGATTTTCTGAGAAGTATGGAATTTTGCTAAGCTGCGAGGGCGTTAGACTGCCTCTGCGGTCTAGTGGTCAGATTTCTTGGTTACAGATCCAGAGGTCCGGGTTCGATTTCCGGGGCTACCAGATTTTCTGAGAAGTGGTGGGTCTGGAACGGGGTCTACTCAGCCTCGTGTGGATAATTGAAGAGCTACTTGAATGGAAAAGTAGTGGCTCCGGTCTTGAAAACCGAAACGGCCATGGGGATTCGTTGCGCGACACCGTCTATCCGCTAAAGTTGGCACTAACTTCGCCGGACAAGCGGCGGTCGTTCGGTCGGTATAGGTCGCTTACGGACTAAAACCACGGAGTTCGTTTGTTTGTTGAGAGGCTGCTATTCACAAAGACTGGAAACCGAGGGCCTCTGCTATGAAGAAGAAGAAAGGGTGAGCTTTAAAATCGAGACGGTTATCAGAGTGGTCCTGTGTTCGAAAGAAACTTAAAGTGATCATATTGGTTGCAATGACTTGAATCCACTTTCGAAGGCTGATTGATGAAGCTTACCGCGCAGACAGCCTCAGGCACAGCTCTGAGAATTTCAAGTCGTCCTGTCGTTCTTTATTTCTCCGCACGGCGCTGTCGACATGCCGGTGAAACTCAACTCAACATTCCAACATGATTTTTATGCCTGCCTGCCCCGGGCCAATCGGTCTACTTGTCAAAATTAGTCAATTGCAGTTATACTGCTATGTTCACACGAGAAGTACCCTTCAAGTTCTGAATCCAATTTACGTATTTACTTACGGTTTACGTAAGGATGCTGTCAGTACTCCAGACGGTACGATGTAGAATGATTACTGAATAATGACTTGGGAAAGACGTACAAGAAAATGATCGAGGTCTAATTGAAGGAATTTGCCTGGCAGGTAAGATCTTAAAGTTTGTGGTGATGGTACATTAGTACAAATATTATGTTTCTTAACATTATCCATTGTCCTGTTTGTATCTGAAAATACCGTCCTGTTTATTTTTCAAAACAACGTTTCGGAGACTGGATTCTGTCTCCGTCTTCAGGTAAAACCTACTCAGTTGGGCCCAATCGATAGAGCTAGTCCCTATGTCCGGTCCGGGACTAGGTCTATCGATACAGCTCTATCGATTGGGCCCAACTGTGTAAGTTTTACCTGTCCGTGTGTATTAGTATATGTATCGCTCCTATTAACTATTCAGTGGCTGAAACAATCTTTGTGAAACTTGGTACGAATATTATGGCATCTTTGCCGCGGACTTCGTATGCCTCTCGCAACAGTAATACCAACACTACCGCGTCTCAGTTTGTTGAGGTAATGACAGTATTATTATACATCGGCAAGATCCGCACAGAAAACACCTCTATCCGAAGCCCTCCTATTGTTGAGTGACGTCACCGCGGACGTGACGTGTTCCCCTGTTGTTTGTGCCATCACTATTACACTGACCAGTTGTTTACTGTGCCGTAACCTAGTAACGGCTCTCCATATGCTACATTATGATTCACCAGTTTATATACCATTGTAACACTGAATTACTTGATTGGCAGCAGTGATACGTTGTAATGATATAATTTTGATAAATTACTTACTTATGGAGCTGAGCCCTTCTTGATGAGAAGCCAAATCTGCATTAACTCGAGAATTTCCCAGCATTCTGTGGAACCCAAAAGTTCATTACCGTGTTCACAAGAGCCCTCCACTGGTCCCTATCCTGAGCAAGATCAAGCCAATCTATACCATCCCATCCTATTTCTCTATAATCCATTTTAATATTGTCCATTGACCAGAGAATTCGTCCAGGTCTGAGGCTTTGTGTGTATTTTCGTTACAAAATCACTATCGGGCAAAAATTTAAATAAATACGCGATTAATAATTTAATTTAAACAATTCGCTGGAGCGGCCAAACACGCCCTTTGATTCTTAAAACTGACAAAAAAAAAAACTCGAGATAACAAGTTACAGCGACGCATCAATCCTCCAAGAAGCGGCGTTCGACGGTGATGGAAACCGTTCATTTCCAGATGCACTCCTCATTCGCCAGGACTAACGAAACCCTTGTCATCTTAAGTGATGCGTTTCTATATTTGCAGGCCATCAGCCCCAGGGACCTACTCCGACGGGCTGGACACTTCTGGACCTGATGAGAGAAATTGCCTGCTGCTCAGATTTCTGGCTCCAAGCGTCACAATATGCTCACACACTTTCAGCTCAAAGGAAGCAATGTCATATTTCTGTATTCCAAATTTATTTCCGTTGAACCCAGAAAGACAAGAATCCAAATCATCGAATTAAATTGATTACTCTAATTATGGCTTCAATCATGCATAATTAAAAAACGAAAGATCAAACATGTGTATAATTAATTTTAAGCGGCAACACTACTTAAAGGCTAAGCCGTGAGGACGCATCGGGGAGCTCTAAGCATACGTAACTCGGGGCTATAGATGTAAGTGAATGATTGGCTTCAAGCTCCTTCAGCTTTACCCCCAGTGGACAGAAGGTTACGGGTGCCCAGGGGAAAGATAAATATATAGCGCATATATGTCAATCACAGACAGCCTCTGTGGTCTAGTGGTCAGAGTTCCTGGCTACAGATTCAGAGGTCCCGGGTTCGATTCCCGGCGTTACCAGATTGTCTAAGAAGTGGTGGGTCTGGATCGGGGTCCATTCAGCCTCGTGAGGATAATTGAGGAGCTACTTCAAGGAAATAGCGGCTCCGGTCTAGAAAACAAATTAACGGCCTTGGGGATTCGTTGCGCTGGCCAAGCGACACCATCTATCCGCTAAAGTTGACACTAACTTTACCGACAAGCGGCGGTCGCTGGGTCGGTATAGTTCGCTTCCAGACTATAGACCACGGAGTTTGTTTATTTGTATGTCTAACACATACTGAACATTACGGTTTACGGATCGAAACAAATATAGAGTTTAAGGGGTGAAAAGAAAAAAGAATCAAGGAAATGAAATGATGGGCAGTAGGCTATTGTGATATATAACACACACAGAAAGAGAACTAATGAAGTTCAGATAATTGTATTATTATTATGAGGTCACTGATTTTTTTTGTTTTTCAGGTGATCTAATCCTTCCAGCCGCACTATGGCCCTGGGGTTGACTCAGCCTCTAACAGAAATGAGTACCAGAATTTAATTAAATAATTTTCCTGGGGAGTAAAGAACGGCCGGCGCGTAAGGCTAACAACCTTACCGCCATCTTTGAGCCGATTGTCTAGATAAAGTGGGACCCTCAACGTCTCACAACCCTATGGGCCTTCACGGGCTGTTGCAGGGATAGCTTTACTTTTTTTACTTTACTTTACACTATTATTAGTTTTTTATTATTAGTTCGGATGTGTTGTATGTCAGCTTGTCTACAAAATTGAATGCATTTAAGAAGAAAAAAAATCCGGGTTTTCCTAGAAAAATATTATTATTATAATCAAATAATTCGCAATTTCCACTTTTTTGTATCCTTGAGGATTATGGTAAAGAAATATGACAGTAGGCATTGTAAAGTTTTGGTTTCTGTTTATCACTTCGTCATTGCTCAGGTCAACAACCAGTGACCTTTAGAAGTTAAAAAAGAAAGACGCGCTAAATGGGGTCACAGTCGTCACAATGTGTCTGTCTGCTCGGACACTGAATTCCAGGAATTCATGTATAGATTTTTATAGACAGACTATTCATTCCTCCTGAATAATATTGATACCTTTTAAAATATTTAATTCCTTAATTAATTACGTTACATTAATATAACTTTAATTCATATGAATTACCACCTCTCCATGTTCCAGCTTATTCACAGGAATGACGTCATTTCCAAGGCTGATGCAATCGAACGTCAATACAGCCGCCATTTTGTGTATTAAAATATTTCTTACAAAAACTAATATCTCAGAAATATAACTATAAAAAAATTAATAGTCAGTGTTTTAGTTGATGACAATAACTTTACTTCAATAATACTGTTGGTATTATATTAATAAGTTGTTTCCTTTCTAGGAACTATTTGTTATCCGATTAGCTCGCGGAGGAATGATGCCAAGGAGCATGATGTAATATAAGTAGTCATATGTATCAATGCATCACTCTAGCTCCATGACACAAAGAAGGAAGAAGTACAATATATCAACTCGGCTAAAATCTGGGTGAAAATGGGGTTCTAGTTGTTTGAACCAGCTGCACACACCACGTGTGCCAACTCAACGATATATATCATGGAGTAAGTATATAAATGTTGATTTTGGAAAGATGAATTGTGTTTGTACAATTTAACGTGAGTGTTAATGCGGGAGGTGTTTTGTTTGGTATGTGGTGTAACCATCGACTGTGAAGGAACTTAATATTTGGGTATTATAAAATAGTACAAACTTATGTAGATATTTGAAATGGCAATCCTTTATAAAGTGTGAACCTATATTTGTGTGAAGTGGCATATAAAATATTTGAAAATATAACTTGGCCCTTTGCCGCCATTTTGTGTTGTACAGTTGGTGGTTTTTCTCCTCGCGGTACTATCGGTGACCGATTAACTATGTAGCGTTGAATGATGGATTAATTTAAGGCATTTTCCCTGCAGTTGCTGGGGGGGGGGAGGGGTCTGAGGAAGACCACTAAAAACCATGTGGTATAGTCGTCGCGTTCGAGGTTCGAACCGCGACTCTCCGCAATAAAATAACCGTTACCGCTTAGGCGACCTTGCTCAGTGTGTATTTTTAACTTAGGGCCTTAACAAAGGAGGTGTACATGCGTGAGTGATTAGGGATTTATGGAGAATAATCCCCAAAGTTCTCATCATCAGCAGGGTATAGGGAAGTTGCAGAATTCTCCAATGGAAAAATAATATGGTTGATGGAGGGGATAGAAGTCCACTTTTGGACCTATTTCCTTAGTTAAGCTATAATTGGTTGGGAATCATGGTTTTATCAGATTATGAAAAGTAACGTCATCTGGAATATGATGCCATGCAGTCTGATAGATTTGTGGATTGCCTCTCTTTTTTTTGGGGGGCTAGTTGTGTGGTGTACTCTTTGACCCTGAAGCTGGATGCAGTATGCCTCACATTTTACCAGGCCCCACATCCCAGACTTCATAATCAACTGCTGTTAGAACTTTTTCATTGCTGATTTATCTCTCAATAGAACAATATTCAGGCATGCGCGCACACGCACGCACATATATCCTTGTTTGAAATATTCATATACCATAGTGCAGGAACATGCTGTTTTTTTTTGTGTTGTATGCATGTTTATTACCTCTACAAACTTTGTTCATGGTGGCCAAGCTTATTTGGTGTTACTTACGGACATTAAAATTTGACAGATTTATATATGGAATGGAATTGTTACATAATGTATTTAAGTACATTTGATTTATATTCTCTTATTGCCGAAAGTAGAGTGACTAACAGATCAGAATAATGGTCATAAAAAGACTATTTTGATTTCTATTTATGCTTTCTTTCTCATCCGTCTGTACCCAGTCATCACATGTGGTGGTCTTACATAACCTTGAACTTCTTTACATAGTATTTGTGTACTGAGGACATTCTATTGTATTTGAGGAGGGGGGGGGAGCAAATGCACATGTGTCCCAGGAGGAAGGTCAGTGTGTGTGTGTACTATTCTGAATGGTTTCCTATTTATAGCTGTTTCACTGTACAGTTACAAAATTGTTGATAAGAAAGATACTACATACTGTTTCTGATATCCATATTGACAGTTCAAGAGACAAAGTTGATACAGTGTACCCAGTATAATACATTTCTGAAAATTCCACCATCAACATCAATGCACTTTGTAACTCATGTGAGGACTGGTGTGTTGCTCATCTGTACACTGTACAGTGTACTGAAATAGCTGTATCTTGGAAACCGTTTGGAATAGGACACGTACATATATACTTTTTTTTTTGTGCTTAGAATGACTGACACTATGACCTCCCACTGATCTTTCCTCCTGGGACATTATTTATATATATATATATATATATATTTGAAACTCTCATACATTTGTTCTGCATTCACTAGTTCTGATTTCAGATAGCGTTCCTGTATTTATTTTTTATTCTACATGTTTGTATCCAAAAATTACTAAAGTTTCATTGCTAAGAAAAAGTAGCCAACAGAACTTGCTTTAATAATTCCACAGTTTATATTTGGTCCTGGGTAACCATAAAGTGCAGTTTCTTTATACTGAACCAGTATATAAGGAAAAACAATTTCAGATTCTTGTGAGATACTTGGTATGACAAGATTGCAGCAGTAAGTTTGTGTATATATCCCATAATAGAGTTGTATCTGCAGAAATTGAGAAGGTGAGATTTAGTGAGGTTTGCAGAATAACAAAGAACCATCTGTAAGTATGTGTACTTGGTGCTGTAGTATACACTGATGCCAAAAACAAAAAATTAAATGAGGCCAATTTGTCATTTAAAACAAATGGAAAATATGTTTTCAGAACACAGAAAGAGCAGGCCATTGGATTTTGAGTTTTATGTGATCTTGAGGCATGAACAGGCAACACATGTTGATAGAAAAAAATCCAGATTCATGAAGAGAAATTGCAGCATTTGCTATAGGCATTGCTTTTTTGTGACAGTATGCCCCAGTATGGCATACTGGCATCATTTTATTAGAGTACTGCTGGCACACTGTCGAAACAAACTTTGATTTTTACTGTATATTTTTTATAGAGCTGGGATAACTCAGTCAGTATAGTGATGGCTTACAAGGCTGGATAACCATGGTTTGATTCCTGGCAGGGGCGAGAGATTTTTCTCGTCCACAGTGGCCAGACCAGCTTTGGGGCCTGCCCATCGTCCTGTGCAATGGGTACTGGGGCCTCTTTCCCTGGGGATAAAGCAGTAGGGATGTGAAGCTGAGACTAATAAAGATAACACCACACACTGTGGAGGAAACCCACAAATCGGGGGCATATATATGGCAGTCATAACTGAAAAGTAGACTACAAACGTGAGGGACAAGCTGCTGAAACAAAACACCCTGGACAGACATACATTTATGAACAATGGATGACACCCGTGTGAGGTGAAATAAAATGTACCAAAATAACGTGGGTATAATAGAAACTTTAAAAGGATTTTATCATTTTACCTTGAAAAGAGAACTACAGCTTGTGATTTTAATGGGGACTAAGACAGTGTAGCAATTTTAACATAATTTAATAAAATATTTGTAACATATTGTAGCGTGTCGGGCGTATATCGCGACAAATAAGTTCACGCCATATTTTATATAGCGAATTTTATTTCACATTCGCACTTACAATAACCCAAATTACAGATTTACGATTACTGCTATCTGCAGTATCACAAATAGTACACTCCAAATGCCAGAATACAACTGACTAGTTGCTGGCTAACTCGGAACTAACTCGGAGGTAGCTCGAGGACTGACTCGGCGGTAGCTCCAGGACTGACTGTGAATAGCCTTCGCTGCTCCTTATGTAGCCTTGATCGGACAATTGTCGTCTGGTGCCGTGCTGTCCGGAGTTGCTGACTGCTGCCTAGCAACCGCGATATCCCTCGGTGACGTCACCACTGTTGATTCGCTTTGCATAGCTTCAAGGTTGCGGGACTCGGCTAACGTCGGGTCCGCTCGGCTCCGCTCGTGACGTCACCGCGCGTTGCGCGTTGCATAGCTACCAGGATGCGGGGTGATTACTCGCCTATTACGCGAGCGCTACGTTACCGCTACGTGCAGCTGGGGAGGTAGGGGTCAACATGTCACAATATCAAGACACCCAAAGATCGCCGTTTGGGCCGGAAACATGTAGTGTCAAAGTGTATAATGTTAATCTAAAATTAAGTAGTGAATAAACAAGTGTTGCAGTATTGAGGGATGAATTACAAATTCAGTGGAAAGGGGAGAGGGCAGGAAGAAGGGAAGTTGGGAGAGACATTTTACATTTAATGAATATGTGAATACAGGCACCTCTTTTTTTTTTTTTTTTTTTTACAAANAAAAAAAAAAAAAGCACTGGTTACAGGTCATACCTCATTCCTGGGATCAGATGAGGAAATTTGGAGTTGATGGCAAGTGAAAAGTGCATTCTGATGTTGCAGATTGTAGATTTTAAAACCACATACAGGCACTGGAGTGAGATCATTTTAGTGTTCCACAAATTGTTAAAAGGGGGCATGTGGTAGCATAGTTAGCTGAGGCATTAGAGTCCTAATGAGATGTTCCCCCCCAATTTACTTAATCCTTCCAGCCACACACACTGTGGCCTTGGGGTTGACTCAGCCTAACAGAAATGAGTATTAGGAATCTTCTTGGGAGTAAAGGGTGGCTGGTGCATAAGGCTGATAACCTCACTGTTATCTGTTAACAGATTTTCTAAGAAATGTGGGACCCTGAACGTCTTGTAGCCCTCCTCACATGAAGTTAGGCTGCAGAGATTTAGGCTCCTAGTGGAATCAGAAAAACCTACAGCATAATTGCATTACCAATAAAACATACACAGTTACAGCAGATGCTGGAAATGCTGGCTGTTGTTACACATGTATTGGAACTCTGATGGTCTCCTATAGAAGGCACCCAAGGAATTCTTGAGGAGTAGTTGGTATAGCTGTGGCTACAAGCTGAATGGTCAGGGTTCCTTTCCTGGCAGGGGCAATTTTTTTTTTCTGCTGGCTTTGGAACACATTCAGCCTCCTATCCAGTGGGTACCAGGGGCGATTTTCCAAGGCCTAAAGCAGCAGGGGTGCAAAGCTGAGCACCCACCTTCATCTGTTACTGAGGTCAAGAATGGTGGAGCTATACCTCCACTTCCCCTTATACTCGTATCTTCATGAAATAGTGTATAATTAACTAAGCACAGGGATAGCTTTACCTTTACTTTTTATGTTTGGTACAGCACAGATTTCATCCAGTTTTATATTATTCAGTGGGCTGTAGGCTTTCTATTCCCCCAACAGTGATCCTGGCATGTTTATCCTATTTTGTTGCAGACCTTTTGTTACGCATAAGTACTGTACATGAACATTAGTTCCAATGTATACTTTACACATAACTGAGTGAATGACTGTATTTCAAACAATGTAGTAGGTTTACATGTGGCTGACAATGTCACCTGGCACAGACTTTCTTCAAGGTAGCTTTTCAGTGATTTACTGGGGCAGAATTGAAGAGAAACTGGATGCAATATGTACTAGCCATGAACATTCCTACAAAAACAGTATAGAGCAAACCCAGCATCTGCTGTACTGTGGTTAAGTTTTATTTCTGTTGTGTTCAGTATGTAGGGTGCTTGACTCTTCAACCTAAGTAGTTTAATGACTTGCAGGGAGCTGCAAGGAGGTATCAGTGAAGAGCTACTTCAGGATGCTTGTTATTACATACACAATGGTTCTCGTATCAACTGTAAGGTTAAGTTGTCCCTGTGCTTAACTAATTAAGCACTATGCCATGAAGACATATGGGGAGTGGATGTATAGATCCACATTTTTTCTTGACCTCGGCACTAGCTGGAAATGAGTGCTCAGCTGCATGTCCTGGCCACTTTACCTCTGAGAAAGAGCCCCCGGTATTCATTGGATAAGAGGTTGGGTGGACCCCAGAGCTGGTCTGGACGACACGGAGAAGTGAAAATTCTTGACCCTACTGGGTCTCAAACTCCAACCCCTCGATTGTTTGGCTTGAAGGCAGTTGCTATACCAGCTCCCCTCTCATCAAGTCCAGTTATAAAATGTTTCATGGAAAATAAGAATATATGATGGATGAAATAAACTAAGCATTATTACACACCTGTTAATAGCTGTGTGCACTGAGTAGTGAATTATTTTAACATACTGCTATAATTTTTTTAATGCTAGTGGGTGGGACTAAGTCCCTTGTACTGCGGCCACTTCTGGCCTATTGTACCAGCCCCAGATGATAGGTGAGGGTGATTGTGGAGCAATTGGTGGAATCAAGATTGGCAGGGGAAACCGAAGTACTTGGGAGAAAACCTGGCCCAGCTCCACTTTGTCGACTACAAATCCCACTTGACCAGACCCAGGTTCAAACCCAGGCTGCCGCGGTGGGAAGCCAGCGACTAACCGCTTGAGCTGTGGTGTGGCCTACGTACTGCTATAACAGCCAGTCTAAATTTCTATGGGCATTCCACAAGTGACAAAACACTGAAGTTTTACAGTATTGTAAAGGTACAGTGCAGGCACCAGATGATGCCTGAATACTGTTCAGCTACTCAGGCAATTAAATCCCTAAAATTGATTTGTTTACATCAGCTTTGTAAAGTAGTTAGTTAGTTGGTTGGTTAGTTATTGGAGAGGGTGGGTTTCCCCATGCACTGAGACCTGTATTGGTCCATTGTGCTTCCCTCTATGATTTCTACCAGTCTCTATATCCTACCGGTACTGGTGCTTACCATCAGTCCCGCCCAGCCAGCGAGACCGGCTCTACTAGCTGAGAGGTATCTATAATGCTTCCCCCATCTACCAGAGGTATTAGAGACTGCTGTTGGGCGGGAAACGTCCGTTAATTTGGCTCAGTGACCTCCTTTGGAGATATGAGGTTCTTTTACGTGCCGTAAAGCTACGACAGGGGACCCACGGCTTAAAGTCCCTCCCGGAGGACTTGTTCCCTGAATTTTTCCGCCCTTAAAATTTCGACGACCTCCGCAGGGTATTTGAACCCGCGTACTACGAGTCATGAGGTGGGAACGTTACCTCTAGACTACGGAGGCCGCTAGCTTTGTAAAGTATATTACACCATGTAGTGTGTGCCAAAATACCGAAGTTTTCTTTGGCACTACAGCCCCAATTTGGGCCTTGGCCTACCTCCATGAAACACTCTGTTTCACTTCGGTTTATCGTGGACAATTGGTAGGACTCCTTTGGGGGGGTCGGTGATCAGCTAGTCTGAAGACCTCTACCTGTACACAAACAGAGAAGCACGTGTGCCCCCCCCCCCCCNTCAACATCATGCCCTTAGTGGGATTCAAACCCATGATTCCTGCTTCCAAGTGAGTGAAGACAGTGTATGCCTTAGACTGCTTGCCTACCGTGACCGGCAAAAATGCTGAATGTGTATTTGCAAATTTTGGCACGAGTATGAGTTACTACCTTGTGCATGCCTGGAGAGAGGAATAGGTTGATATTGTACGAAAGTACAAGAGAGATTCCAGAAAGTATTGTACTGGAACAAAAGTGGATGATAACGGTTGCTAAATACCATGTTTATGTAGCTGTCACCAGAAGGAAAGAGGGAACAATTACAAACAGGTTTTAAATCTTTATACAAAGTATCAAAATTTGAAGAATTCATTTAAGTAAACAGAATGGAATATGTCGATAGCTGTATTTATGCATATGTGAAGTAAAACCAAAAATTGGACTGCTGATATTATTTTGTGGGTATTCTTTCCTGTCTCTGTTTGCAGAAATTCAAGAGTCTGGAACACTACAGATAGTATTTGTTCTTCTTGAATTCGTGAAGTTCTTTATTCAGTCCTGTGAAAATTATTGTTGGTCTGAAAAGTTATGTAACCTTCGTACACGTTTAATGTACAGTTCCTGATGAGTAGGGCTCGGATTTCTATGACCTAAAAACTTTGAAAATATTCATGCATTTATGCCCAAAAAATGGCAAAATATGATCTAAAATATGACAGAATGGCCCACAAAAAATAAGTAAATATTTAACAAAAATTCCTAAGAATGGCAATTTATTAAGAAGTTTACAAAGTTATTTTGTCCTGAATAAATATCTCTAAGCTCTGAAGCATCGATCACAGCACATTGCTGACCCCATAAAGAGAAAAGCTGAATGGCGTTTTATTGAAAAGTGTACAAAGTTATTTTTTCAGAATAAATGTCTTTAAGCCATGAAGCATCCATCACAACACAATGCTGACCCCGTAAAGAGAAAACATGAACGAAAGTATTGTTTATTTTAGCGTGAAAAGTAAACTAAAGTGTGCTAATAGTTGCAGGCAAATAATTTGTACGGTACCTTAATCTTCCTTTTCAGTAGAGTTGCACTGAATGACAACATGCATTTTCAAATTCTCGAACTTGAAGGACCTCCGATTGTCACTAACAATGGCCTTGTATTTGGAGAAACTCCTTTCTACGTCGCAAGATGTCACAGGGGCATACTTAAAACAAGTCAAATCACTTGCTTCAAGTTCTAATTCACTGTTATCAAATTCAACTTCTTTGCCACAAAGAATGTCAGAAATTGTACACAGTGTTGAATATCCAGGATTTCGTTGGAGCACATTTTGTAATTTTGCACTAATTTTCAAAGCAACTTCGCCCTGTGCTTGATGTAGTTCACTTTCAACTTTCTTAACAATTTGTAATGCATTGCACAGTTGCATGCCCACAGCTTCAAGTCTAATGATGGATTTTGATATCACACTGAAATTTGATTTTATGTACGCTAGATTTCTTGACGTGGTTGATGAAAACAAATTTTGTACAGTTCGAATTGAAGATGAATCATCTCTGTCAAACTTCATGAAGATATTTTCAATCACACTATAGTGTGTGCAATAATAATCTGCAGCATCGAGCCAAGTCCCCCATCGTGTTAGAATAGGCTTAGGGGGAAGGGGTAGTGATGGAGCCTCTTCTTTAAACTTCTGCAATCGAAGTGGAGCCTTAACAAAAATTTTCTTCCCATTTGCTATTAATTTATCTACATCAAAGTAGCTCTCTCGCACCTCTTCTGCTACCCTATGCAGAGCATGTGCGAGACACGTTGCATGAATCATTTTGGGATACAGTACCTGAAGTCCCTTTGCTGCCTTTACTATATATGGAGCGGCATCCGTTAAGAAGAGGAGCACATTCTCTCGTTCTACCTTATTTGGCCACAGCAAATTCATCGCATTGTCGAAAACAACAGCAATGGAAGAATTATTCACTTTTTCCAACACCTCACATGCCAATAGGAATATATCTCGAGGCTGGTCATCTTTCAGTATACCAACAACAACATTCGCTACAAATCTACCACTTACGTCGGTAGTTTCGTCGATAGACACCCATATTTTATTATTTCCGACACAGTTTCTTATTTTATTGATGGTAACATCGTAGCAGGAAGTGAGATAGTTCTTTCTTAATGTGGATTCGGTCGGAATGGGATGAGTTGTATATTTTTCGAGGAAGTTTCGGAAACTAGGTGTATCTACTTTATGTAATGGAATATTTGATGAAACCATCATAGTACAAAGATCCTTTGAAAACTCGGAGGCATTTCCTGATTTCGGTGAACTGGAGAATGACTTTTCAAACAACAGTCGCTGTCTACTTTCCGTGGTAATTTCTCTGTTTACACAGCTTCTATGTTTAGCTGTATTGCAGTGTTGTTGCACCGTAAAACGTTTGTCTGCCATAACTTTCACTTCACACATTTTGCAAAATAAAATTTCTCCGTCAGTACTAAAATATTTGTCACCAAACTCTTTAATAAAACCACGCAACTTCACGCTATTAGAGCACTTGACTTTAGGCATCTTGAAACTATACTGAACAACTGAAGTTATGAATACAGTACTGTATTGGACGGGTTTCGGGGAGAGGGTAGAAATTTACCGCTTTGTGGATGGAAAAATTTTTCACCAATATGCAAGAAACAAACTGGACTTCAGGTATCACTGCAGTGGAGGAGAAAAAGAGACACAGACAGACAGACAGACAGAGGCAGAGGTGGCAATTTCTCTTTTCAAAGTGGTTGATTCTATGCCAGGTCAAGAACTGTTACCCTTCACACTGTACAGTATTCCTTCAAATCTCGTTACACAAGGCCAAATATTTCTAAGAAATGAAGTTCCAGATAACATCATTGCCAATACTTGCAAATATATTTCTCAGCAATAAGTGAAACTCGCCGAAAAATATGACCAGAAATATGATTTTATATCACTTCGGGCCCAAATATGACCTAAAGCTAAAATATGGTTCAAATATGCACTTATATGGCCAATAAAAACCGTATTTTCATGTTCACAAGAGTCAGAAATGCGTTTATATTTAATTATACATGTGAAAAGATGCCAGGATAAAAATATGATATGTCATAGAAATGCGAGCCCTACTGATGAGGCTTGTAAGAAAGTGTGGGAAATAGTTTTCTTCTTGTTACAAATATATTGATTGCTGTGATTATTATGTTTCAGGGCCAACATGGCGCTTTTAACTATTCCTTTCGTCGCATCGTCGACAGAAGACCAATCATCGAAATCCAACAATCGTGACACCATCTTTGAGGCAGAAGCCACAATATTTAGTTTGTTATTTAAGCACTGCAGCAACGTGATCAACAGCTATGGCCGATACACAGAGCTGCTGGCAGTGGAAGGTGGAGCCCGTTTCCCCTTCGGGCTTCCCCGACCTCGATTCTGAGGTGGCACATGCATGGGGACTATTTGATGAAGATGTGCAACAACAGAATAAACCAAATGACATCACAACACACAAGCAGGAGAGACTGGATCAGCCAACAAGAGCTGAATTAGCATCAAAATTACTGCAAGACCTGGATGAATGGATTAAGGAAGGTACGTGCTTATCTTATTTCTTTCTGTAATTTGAAACTTAGATGTTTGTCAGTACTTATGCTTGTGCTCTTGGGAACTTCAATCACCATCTGGGAACGGGATTTAAAAATGTCACTACTACAATTCTGGTGGCAGGATTTGAAGAGGAATGCATATGGGGTTTTAATGGGAAAGCCAGAAGGAGAGAGACCACTAGAAAGACTTACATGTGGGTGGGAGGATAAAGTTAAGATGGATCTTAGAGAAATAGGATGGGGTGGTATGGGCTGGATTAATCTGGCACAGGATAGGGACCAGTGGAGGGTTCTTGTGAACATGGTAATGAACCTCCGATTTCCATGAAATTTACATATACACTGTTCACCAGCTTTACAGCATGTGGTCCAATAAATCTTAATAATTTTCATTAATACTGGTTTTAGTAGTACACACTGCTGTCATTATTAATCACTATTATTTATTTCCAGATCAAAGTCACTGTCTGCAAGTAATCATATTTAACACTGTACTTTTTAGCAACCTGGCTCTTGGCTTACCTCACCTCACAACCCAACCAGTTTTATTCTTAGTGAACATTTAACAACCAAACATTAAAGAGATGAATAGCCAGTGATCTATATATGTTGAAGGAATCACGAAAGATAGCTATATTTACCATTGAATGCTGGACTGGTGGGAGGGTGACAGTATTGCCAGGCAGTAACTGACAGGTCCTTCTGTACTTTGGCAACCAGTACATGTTTCAGCCCAGTCTTGAATTTAAGACTCGTTTCCATAGAAGAATCTGTTTTAAGTCATTATTTCCAGTCATGTAGATCATCGTGTGTTATCGTTATCCTCACTCATTTGATAAGTTCTTCAGGGGGCATTGAGAAGATTCTTTCTTGACATCATACAGATTCCTTAATTTCTTGAGAAAATTTTAGTTACATTTTCTTGCCGGAAGCAGGTCATCACTGGTTGTTGTAGCGTTCAAGAGATATTTAAAGGCACCTCCCTCTCACATGGATCATGCTGATACATAATGCCACACTCTTTTGTGCCGTATCATTGATCTGGAGTACTTTTTTGACTTTCTATACAAATGTATCGTGGCTTATATAAGCAGTTCTGCATTCTTGTATGTGCTTGCTGTTAGAAGGTTCGGTGATAGAAAATGCCCTGTTTGCAGACTCTTTAACTTTCACCACACTGTAGTTCGTCAAGCATGTCTGCATTCTGTTCTTGCATCATATTACTCTTCTAGCATCCTTTTTTGCTGGCATCACAGCATCAGTGCTTTGGGGAAGAACATAAGGCTGTGCCATAGCTCAAGTGGTTAGTCTCTGTCTTCGCACCTTGGTGGCCCAGGTTTGATCCAGGGTCTTGTCAGGTGGGATTTGTGGTGGACTAAGTGGTGCTGGGCCGGCTTTTCTCTGAGTACTTCAGTTTCCTTGCCAATCTTCATTCCACCAAAATCACCAGGGGCAGGTATAATAGGCCAATCAATGGCCGCCATGCCGAGTGGACCCAGCTGGATTCCACCCCTCACTAGCGAATTAAAAAAAAAAAAAAACACAACAGAACAGAAGGTTACAGAAGTAGGAGAGTGTGAGGATGTATTACACTGTCTGCTGAGACAAATGCTCCCACAGCCAGAATTACGGCATCGTAGTGAGGCTGGGTGGGAGACGTAGGTATTCCATGAGCTCAGTTGTACACACATTACATTTATATATGTGGACAGGCTAACCCATAGATAATTGAAACTTTATCCCATGCAATATAAAAAGGATATCTGAATGTGTATTCCATTCAGCCTGTAGTCCCTTGCTATGTATGATGTCTAAGCTATCCCAGTTCTCTGGGTTAAGGCCCAGCTGTTTATTGAAGAGTGTAACATTTTGAATGTCTGGTATTATTAGTAGAGATGTTTCAAATGATCAGCAAGACTTTGTTTGTCCCTTTAAGGTACGGATTTCTTATATCCTTCATGTTGTGTTATCAGTCAGTATGTTTAGCTTTGAAAAGTGGAGAAAGTAGTACTGATATTAAACTTTTCTGTGACAGAAATTTTATGTGAAGGTTTTAGAATGGAATTATTTAATGTTGTTTTGGCCATGTTTGATTGGTAAGTACATTTACTTAGACGTTTAAATTGCAAAAGGCTGACTGGATGTCTTTCACTTTTTATCTGTGTGTAAATCCATCTACTTCCATCATGAAGCAAGTTTGCTGTCCAAAACTTGTTAAATGAAACCTTTAATGAGCAGTTCTGAGTACTTAGCACTGTCTTTGAGGCTTCAGTACAGTGTATTTTTGTTCTGAAACATAGTATGCAGAGAAGAGAAAAGGTTACATTTGCATGATGCTGCCACTTATTTCAGCATGTATAAACAGTTGATGCATGGAGCATATATACGCAGTTAATGTTTTTCATAGTGTAATGTGTCACCTAAAAAACTGATCCCCCACATGCAGAGTGGAGCTTCTTGTAGCAGTTTCCTAGGCAACGAGCATTAACAAAACACATGTCCTGAGCCGTGTCCCTTGACCCTGTGGGTCGAGAACCCAGTTCTCCTACCCAGTTAGACCCGTGAACTCCAATTCAATGTGGGCAAGGGACAGGCTCATAAGACGACTTGCTTGTACGTGATGCACTATGCCTCCCCAAGGTCGAGTAGGGGATCTCGGGAGAGGAAAACCACTGTCGGCACATATGGGCCAAGCTGGACGGATCTGCTAGTCTGAACTAGTAGGGAACACACACAACCCAAGTATACACAAATACGACTGGCGTTTCCAACATATAAATAAATGTATATATTGATAACAAAGGTATACAGGTGTACTCTGCCTGATGGGCGGTAACTGGTCAAAACATAATTAACAATTGATACAGAATTACTCTGTGGCTAAGCGCACAGACGCAAGTATAGGCACGCCTCATGGCATCCATCAACTTTACTAGGAAAACACTGTACTCTGGCGAGCCTTAAGGGTACACAAGCCTTAAGGGCACAAGGAAATATACACTCGTACTCACACGCCTGAGGGGCGACCGGCTATTCAAGCCAACTTAAACTTCAACTAATCCATTTACTTACGCCACACGGCGTCGTGATGAAAAGGAAACCAAATACAACAGTAAGTCACTTACTGGCGTTTCCAAAATTACGAACACAAGCTTAACCTCGCGACTTGATACAACCTTGATCACGTCGCGAGGGCACTCTTCCCCCTTCAGATACTGCACGGGCCGAAACAGAATTTCACAAGCTCAATTCAACCTAAACACAGAATTTGGAAGCAGCGAAGTTACCTGGCTGAAGGTACCGGGGAGAGAGAACGACGCATTCATTCAGTGTAACCAAGAAACCTCGCATTGCATCCAGGAGGGGGGGGAACAAGGTCAGCTGACCTGACGTCAGCTAAGACTTTAAGCGGAAAGAAAGAGGAACGGCTCGCATCCCGGCGTTTCGGGGGGGGGGGGGCTCCAAGGAACTTCACAGAGAAGAACCGTTGCACAGTTCAGTCCAAGACAGTGCATATGGATATGTCTATTGCTAGACAATGGCATGGTAGCTATGTTTCCCATATAACAAGGAACAGTGAATACCTTGTTGCCTAGGCGCCAATTGAAAAACACAAATGCTACAGTGTGTACATTGGCAGACGTTACTGCGGAAATGAAATGCTGAACTGTTTGGAACAGTGTTTGCTATTCAGTACACCATGAACCTACCTCAGGAAGATTACACCAGATACAGGGAGAAGTGAGAGGAAAGATCAGATCAGAATGGAGATAACAAGAAGAGAGACAAGATCAGAACACACACAAACAGAAGCAAGAGGGGAACCAACAGAAGCCTTCGTATGGTGCAGTTACAGTGAACATTAGAGTGTGATCATTGTCTTGTGCGATAATTTTCTGTAGTTCCTCCTGATGTAATTTCTCCAATAAACCGCTTCACCAAATCCATAATCCATTAATTATTTAACACAGAATCCTGGATGCATGACAGAAAATTACATCCCATCCCATTCATAACGTTCAGCAGAATTTTTAGGTATATGTATGTACAAGTCACACAAAACAAAAGATTATAATACTTCATAATTAGTTTTATTGCTGTACTACATATTTCTATTGAGTAATCATAAGGTGGATAGTTGTTGTTGGTGGTGTTGTTGTTAGAAGGGGTGGGTTTCCCCATGCACTTAGACCAGTTATTGGTCCATTGTGTGTCCCCCTTTATTTTCTATTGTCGCCATACCCTGCCAGTACTGGTGCATGATATCACGGCCGTCGGTACCTGATATTTCCCCCATCTACCAGAGGCACTGGAAACTACTTGGGTGGGAAATTGTTGCCTAATTTTGCTCAGAGGTCTCCTAGAGACATGAGGATCTTTTACGTGCCGTAAATCTATTACATGGGACCCACTGCTTAAAATCCCTCCTGGGGGACTTGTTCCCTGAATTTTTCCGCCCTTAAAAATTCCACGACCTCCGTCGGGTTTGAACCCGCATACCTTGAGTCATGAAGTGGGAACGTTACCCCTAGACTACGGAGGCCGCTAAGGTGGATAGTTAGTACACCAATTGCAAAGTTCACCGCTATTCTAGAATAAGTAATTGGTATTATCTAGTGTCAACGATCCATTACAAAACTTTACGCTGTATTGATAGTGTTTTGTAATTGGTGGTTGCAAGACATGATTAAAGTACAGAATTGGCACTTACATAGCAACGGCGACATCCCGTGTCATGTCACCCCTGGGGAGGGAGGAGGTGTCCTCCATAGCGCAACATGTCACAATATAATGAATAAGAGGGAATAGTGTTATTAAAAAGTATTTCTTCTCTCTATGATGGTAAAAAGTTAAGTGGCTTTCTTCAAAGAACTAAAAGCCTGTTGAAATTTCAGTGGGAATTTGTTAGTAACATTTTGCAAAGTACTTAACCTCAATGGGGGTACATGGTAGCATAGATGGTTGAAGCACTGTGCTGCAAGCCAG